TGGCTACACACAGTAGCCCATGGCAACCCACTGCCACAGGGGCTGCATCCCAGCTCCAGGTTGAGTTATTCTTCAGCAGTGTCACTGGCCCTCATATGTGGGATCCGAACAGGGGCCCCCTGGCTTCCCAAGCCAGTTCTTAACCATCGCGCCACTCGGCTGGCCCAATTGCTTTTGTTCTTTGAAGCTTACAGGTAGTTTAACAACAACAGAAAGACTGGGACTTAGAAAACTTGTTTCCCAAGGCTGGGTAGATATTAAAAATGCAAATACTTTAAAGAGGTTTTTAAATAAATTCCCAGAAGACTAGTACATCTTGTACTGCCAAGGCCTGTAGAAGAATTGTGAAGGGTAATGACCGGGCGACAGGTCGGAATGTCTGGTTTCTAGTCTTGGCTTGCCTACTTGTTAATCCTACGTGTGTGCCCTGGGCAAACGACTTGGTATGTTAAAGTCTATCCCCTTAGTTGTAAAACGGCGATAATACCTGCTCCGACTACTAGAGTAGTTTGGGTGTTCAAATTAAGCCTTTTTTTTAAAAAAAACGGTGTTTTGAGAACTGTAAGGTGCTCTATAATTGTGTTTTGTTATTGCATCGCTGAAATTTTTGCAACCTCCCGGACAAGAAACACCTAGGGAAGAGGGATTTTGCTTTTCCACGTTGCAATAGTGGGCTTTCATCAATTATTGTCCGTCGTTTATGAAGGTATCTTGTTGAGAAAAACTTTTCAAGATTTTTTTTAACCTACTATACAACTAGCAAGGTGGTGTCTGTAAAAGTACTACGCAGACAGGGCTTAAGATAAATTGCCAAGAAGCCACCGAAACACTAAGAATGTCAGAAAAGACTTCGCGGGAGCGCAGACTCCCCTTTAAGGTTCATACATTGTGTGCGATCAGTCAGGATGCCGGCCGCCGAATGAAAACATGAATTGGTAGAACTGGTAGTCCATAACGTAGTTATTATCATTACAATCTAATACATTTAACGATTTGTCACCATTCCCTGTAATAAGCAGGATGCTACAACGAACTTTAACTCCGAGCGCCAAGAACCCCACTCCCCGGCGTGGAGCGGGAATAATGCGCGCCACTCGGCTCCAAAACCTCCGGGTCGCGCGAACGCGCCTCCCCGGCTGTGCGCGGCGCGCGCGCGCGCCTCCGGCCCACGTGACCGCGGACACTGTACGTCGGGAGCGGGAGGGGGGCTCGGGTCGGCTCCGCAGCGCTGCGCAGGCGCTCTGGGGCCGCGTCGAGCCGATGCTCCCTCTAGGAGGCAAAATGGCGGCGAAGGGAACCTGGAGCAGTCCCGGAGCCTGAGCCACTGACAGGAGCGGAGAGGGCGGCAGCGGCAGGAGGAGGAGAATGGCTGTGGGTGCTGGCGCCCGTGCGGACGGTGGTGCTGCTGGTGGCGGCGGCGGGGGCGACGGCCGCGGTCCCAGCGGCGGCAGCAGCAGCAGCGGCGGGAGGAGCCTCCGGGGTGAGTGTTCCTCGGTGTCTCTGAGGCTGCGAGCCGAGGCTGTTCCCAAAGCGGCGCGGAGCGTCCCGGCGAGGAAGGGGCCGTGCCTGGGCAGTGAGGGGACCGCGCTGGTGCCGGGCCGCCGCGGGAGGCGCCCGGCCGCCGACGGGGAAGTGGCAGGCGTCCGTTTGGGGATGAGGCGACGGCGGCAGCAGCGGACTGGCCGGTCCCCGTGCACTCAGAGGCGGGCTGGGCTGTGCGCCGCCGTCCCGGGGGCAGCAGCGCGAGGTGTGGCGCCCGGGGCGGGAAGAGCGGTCGTAGGTGGCGGCGGCGGCGGCCTGGCGGACTCCGGGCTCTTGGCTCCGAGGGGCGGGACCCGCCGCTCCCAGGACGCCGGGAAACCGCTCCCGAGATTCTGGTGCGTGTTTACCGGGCTGCGGGGCTGCGACTGTCCCTGGGTGGACGTGAGAGCGGCCAGCCAGAATTGGAGAGGGAGCAGGCCTGTGGATGGCTGCTCCCAGGGGGAGAAGTTAGATTGTCCGGGTAAGTTTCTGATTCTGGATCAGACTGGAATTGCGCTTTGACAGGTTTGAAGGGAGACAATACTGAGTGTTTGATAAAGGAGTCGGTGCTTGGAGTACTTGAATGGCTAACAGCGTGCCTTTTTCAGTCTTTATCGTTTGCAAAACTGTTTACTAGCCTTATCCCGAGGATGAGAACTTTCTCACGTTATTTTGTTTTGTTTTTTTTTGGAGAAGCTCTAAGCAGTGTTGCTTCTGCTTTGAATTACAATAGCACGTCTTCACATAGCAGGA